AATGCCGAGGCTCTAAGAGCAAATGAGGAAAATAATGAGAGGCGTGATGTCAAGGTAAAGAAATTAGAAGCTAGGCTCGCGATAGTGGAACAGAATGATAAGGAAGCGATACCAGAGATATCAGCACCTAATAATAACACAGACAATAAGTCATCGGAAGATAAGAAAACAGATTATTTCTAAGATGAAGTGTACAAGAAAAAGGTTAGTAATGAGATTAGGCAGAGGAACAGAAAAAAGAAATTATTGCGTGAATCGTCTACCAAGGACTTATCTAGAGATGTGAGTTTACTTAGTAAACCCCCCACCTCTTCTGTAACTCAGGACAAAGAATCTCGATCACATAAGAAGAAACTAGAAGCAGAAAATATCGTGCAGGATGTATTTGATTTTACCATAGATGGGTCCAAGAAAAAACAGCTGGAAAGTACTTCGCACATGATGGAAATTTCGCTTATGGGCTGTAAGGAAAATAATTACCAAGAAAAGATAGAGCCCCAGGGAGTTATCAAGTTTAGACGTATTGCAAAATATAAACCGCTTATATGAGAATGCATATACTGCGAAAAATGAAAAGGTAAAGGCTAATCAGGCGGAAATTCTGTGCTGGAGAAATTTTATTATAGGACTGAATAATAGTATAGGTGAAATTATGATCAAAGAAAAGGTGGGTACAAAAAAGGCCAAAGGACTGATTTACGATTTTATTCTTGCACACAATACTAACACCAAATGAAATACTTTATATCAGCGCATCAATAGGTCCAGGAAGATTTATGAGTTTACTGAAAAAATAGGAATTGATAAAATCAAGTATATTAAAAATGTATGCTGTTGCAGATTTATCTGTTAGCCAAATTCAAACTATTATTGATTATTTCTTCAAGAACCTCAATACTGAATTACCAGATGATCAAAAAGGCTTTAATATCGATTCTGAAGAAAAGATTTCGGATGATCAGACAGATGCATTGAAGGTGGTTTCAGCTGAGGTAATCGAATCAACCTCACTTATTCCTGTATCTTATGACTTTAATTCTTCAAGTGAGACGAGTCCAGGCAATACTTCCAAAACTGAGGTGAGTATATCATCCACAATTTCTTCTAGTAAGGTAGGATTATCTAACAAATCCAGACTTCCAATTTCTATTTTACCTGATGATCCAGAAGAAAAACGAAAACATATCATTGGGTTGGTATTAGAGCGTTTTCTTCTTTATCTTTAAGAAATAGTAGTGAACGTTGTGAGTTATATAAGGGAGACCATAAAGAAGAAAGTTTATAGAATGATATAAAAGATGAATGGGGTGTTGGTGACTATTACGGAGAACAAACTTATCGTATCAAATGCAAGAATCCTCTTAATCGTGGAACCCTAATAGTATCTGTAAAAGCATAGACGAAAATTCGTCATGTGGACTAATCACCTGAAATGTGCAGAAGATATAGTGAATGTGATAGAGGTTATTATTATGATTTAAATAGCAGGAAAAAAACTTATAAAAATTCTGATTATATAATTAGTACATATTAACACACGATTGTGTAAATATTGGAAGCCTTGTACTAGAACCCCAATAGTAACCATAATAGCATATATTAATAAAGTTAACTCAATAGTCTCCACTAATTGCAAACCACATTGTAAAAAAGATCATGTAAAAATAAAAAATGCTGGGTCCAACCCCTTTCTTTATTTCATAAAAATTATTGCTGGAATGACAATATACAAATAAAAAAAAATATTTTATAATATTTTTTTTTAATTTTCTTCTAGCACTATGAGGATGTGAATATTATTTTGATCAGGATTTCTACTGAAATAGTCATAGATCCTATGATTTGGATCCATATTTATAATGTAGTTCCCAGTGGTAGGAGAAAACCTATGAAGCTAATAATGATTATTTCTTAACTCGGGTGGTAAGCTGGCCTGAATCTGAGTTATTATTGTGCGAACATGGTTTCCATTAAAAACATTAATTCTGTGAAAATAATATGGTCTGCTCTCCAAGCCAAGACAATTAAGATCGATGTTAATATGGTCATCATCACCTATTTTTCGTTCCTAAATACAAAAATCATAGTAAGTAAAAATTCAGTTTCATAGTTTTCATTAAATGAAATAGCAAATTACTTTTTTAAAAAAAATATGGGCAAGTAAATCAAGTAAAAATATATATGAGCAAAAAATAATATTATTGCTAACTTATCTTGTAGACGGGAGGTTGTTTACTTTTATACTATTCATTTGCTAGATCTAAAAAATTTGCTAAAAAAAAAAAATGTTTAGTAATTACATTACCCAAATCCAACGCTAGTATTTTCTTTATAAAGCAAGTTTATTCAGCCATAAGCTTCATATACTGAATGTATTTTATTATTTTTTAGATGAAATTAAACCCCCTTAAATTCAATGATTGTTTAAAGTGGGTGATGATCTCAGGAGATGGCAGAGATTCCAAGTTTCTGCAATATATGAATTTTGATAAAAATACTAATAAAGAGCATTATATACATTGCTCTTATAGCCTTTTTAAGTCTCATTCTTATCACGAGATCATATAAAGTAAGAAAAAGGGTCTAGACATTATTCATAATATTCGTTAATAAAAAAAATTGCACTGTAAGAAATGATTCTGCAAGAGAGTGATATTACATAAAATTTAATGCAGACCATTAATTTTTAAAGCTAGTCAAATTTTTATCGCTATTTTTCGATCTAGGCCAAAATAAAAGTAGACCCGTAGAAACTATTAAATCATATGATATGACATAATATGTACTTATTTTTTCTAGCATAGAAAATTGGGCTTGGAATATATAGCGTGTAAAATTATTGATTAAATTGCCATGTCCAATAATTGTGGTGCTGAATTTGATAAACAATTTAATTATTTGTACTATATGTAGAAATTATTGTGCTATGTTAAGATGCCAAATAAAAAATATTAGTTGACTTATATTAAATTATTGCAATGCCAAGTTATTTATATTGTATACTGCTTTGTGTTGAATTATTACAGTATATACTGAACTAATAAAAATAAGCTATAATTTATAATAAAAGAGTCTTCAATACAAAGTTCTGTTTCAAATTTGCTTGTTTTCAAGAGAATATGAATTTTTTTATTTTTATAAAATTGCTTACTTCTATCCTTACTATGTTGTTGCAAAATACTCTTATTATCTTATCCAAGGCCTTTAAGAAGAATCTTTATAAAAAGGATTTGCATGCTACAAAAAAAGCAAAAATTAAAAAGCCTGTTAGTTCAATTACCAATAAGGACAAATCCACATCCAATATTATACTTTATCAAGCTGATAAAAGAGAAAATATTTTCTATGATCCTCTAAAAATATATTAATCATCCTTTATTATATTTAGTTTTTTTTATAGTTTAGTCTTCTTAGAGGCAGTTTTTGTCTTTCAAGGCAGACCTGAGATCTGGCTGTTCTTTCTCTATTATTATTGTATTTTACTATTATTGAGAGTATAATAATTATCTTATTAGCAAGAAAAGAAAAACTAAACAAGCTTCTCATTTAATACTGAGCTATAAGATAAGAAATAATTCAAATATATTCATTTTAAAATATTTTTATTTAACTTTATAATAAAATATTATAAAGTATATTATCTTATAAAATATTTCTGAATATATATTCTTTAGTATAAAACCCAAGCAAAAACTTGCCAATTGACCAAAGATGGAGCTCATAAATATATCTGTACCTGATAGATATCTGAAGACTTTTTTTCTAGTAATCTTAAATCAACTAAAATTTCATAGCCTTATACTTTGATAGATCCAAAATTTACTTTTATTAAAAAGTTTTTGGAAAGAAAACAACAGAGATAAACTATCCAACCAATACCTATTGATAACTCTAAAATACTGATATATTATATAACTCTGCTAGAGTTCAAGATCTTTAATAAAGGCTTTTTAAATTCGATACCTAAACAGTGAAAAGAGTCTGGGTTGTGGGCTAATTTTTCAAAAGTTCTCAATTTTAATAAATGATTTCATCTTTACTGCTATCATCTCTGGTCTAATGTTATATATGCCTATCAAGAAGCTTAAAAAAAAAATATAAAAACAATATAATATCTCAGGAATGTATAGCCAATTATTAACAAATAAATTAGATATAGCTAAAGAGGCTATAAAAAATATAGCTATTGGTAATAAATTTAAAGGCTATTACTATGTTTTCAATTCACAATGCTTTAAAAATTTTTTTGGTGAAACTGTAGTAAATTTTTTTAACCTGCCTACTATGATGCTTATTGAAAATATAAGGATTATAATAAACTAATATTATAATCACAATCTTAATAATAAAAAACATCAATCGAAAGAATTTAAAAAAGAATTAATAGAGCATTTTGGTGCCTTCATGGGCAACAATAATAAACTCTACACAACTGCAAATACCATCTCATCAGGACTCCAGACATCTCTAATATAGGTCATAATTGATCTGCATAAATTTAAAGGTTTTTGCTACCTCTAAAATCAAGTAAATT